AAAAGCTCAGCTGTCCAAGTAGAACATCCAGAGGAAAAAGAGCAACTGAATTGTGTACCTTCTCAGCCCACTGTCTTGGTCTGCAGAGACTACCATACCAGAGTTGGGCTTCTGAACCACACCAGGTACTGTTCAATAGAATTGACTATCACAGTACAAAACATCTTCAAATGTGATGGAAAACTGATACTACACAGTTAAAAGAGAAATCAAGTTAGGTTGTAATTTGCCGAGAAGTAGCCTATTAACAAGTGCAACCTTCTACGAATGAGATCGTGCATTTTCAGAAGTATGTGAATCATCTGCCGCCTTTTTATTTTGATGTATTATGTATTAAGCAGGTAGACTGGCGTTTTACTCAGAATACTATCTGCTTATTACAGGCAATCAATCTTAACACAGCAGGCGAGAACTAGATTCAAACTCATCACTGGAAGAAGATATTCTCCATGACGTGCTGCATTCCCCTGAGATGGTGTGAATCTTGCATTTCACAACTAGAGTAGTATCTGAGAAGTGCCCAAAGAGGAATCTCCTTTTGTAAGCTAGTAGATAAAGGTAGATGATGTTTGAAGAGGAAATGAGATGGCAGTCATTTGGTGCTTCCAAAGAAGCAGTGCAACCAAAGTAGAACCTGATTTATGTTTGGTTACAAAGTTTCATTTTAAGTGAATCCATTTCTTTAATCATGCTTAGTTTGTGGGGGAAAGAGAGAAATTGATTCTCTGGAGACACTAATTTGTTAGGCCATTTTTTAATTTTGAAGTCATGCATTAAGACAGATGATGAAAAGAACTGATCTAATCTGTTAAAATCCTACTTCTATGATACCATAATTTTCCTGTTGAACTTAATTGCATAATTTGATGGGAATTTTTTTTTAACACACTTCTGTTATGCCATTGCAAGAATGGTGTTTGCTACTGTCAAATAGGTGTCCCTAGTTCATTTTTATATTGTGGTCCTGTTTGCTAAAGAGTCGGACAGTACTTTCTGATACAGCGAAAACCCATAAGACAGCTTCTCAATCTTTTGAAAATGGTTGATTCTGAATGTTTAACTCAAAATGATTAAAAACAACTGTGTACAGTTGAAGATTTCCTTTTGTTCAATGTATTTAAAATTCATGGTGTTTGACTTTCTCCTTGATATATAGGAAAGTGGCAATCTGTTGAGATAAACTGCAACCAGAGATAATTTGTAAAATTAACCACAATTCTTTTCAATATATTTGTGTAATGAAAGGTGGGAGGATTATGTCAGTTTTAAGGAAGTGTTGTAGTGAAGTTCTGAGGCTTGACTGTCGGCCTGAGGCAGTCTTCTAGGGAAGTCTTAATAGTCCCCTTAGAAGATCATGATCTGATTAAAACAAACGAGCATAGTTTTACAAAAGGGATTTTCTGTTGAACAAATTCACTGGGACTTTTTTTGAGGATATATGTAGTAGGTTAAATAAAGGGGAGCCGAATATAGATCTAATGTACCTCAATTTCCAATAGGCATTTGCTAAAATGCTACACCAAGTGCTCATGGAATTGGTGTAATAAACTGGAATGGGCAGAGAAAGATAAAATGGAGGCAAACATGACATTTTCAAGTTTTCAGTTTATGACTGGTGGAGTGCCAAACCATCAGTGCTGGTGCTTCGGCTATTTACTATCCATGTTAATCTCAGTGGTGTATCTAGGTTTGTTATTGTTGTATGTCTCCCCTCGGACAATAAGATATAGGAGCAGAATTAGGTCATTCGACCCGTCGAGTATGCTCTGTCATTTGACCATGTCAGATATGTTTCTCAACCCCATTCTCCTGCCTTCTCCCATAATATTTGATCCCCTTATTAATCAGTAACCTAGTTATCTCTGTCTTAAATGCACTCAATGACTCTGCCATAGAAAGCTTTGGAGGCCATGCGGTCCACAGATTTACCACCCTCCCCATCTCTGTTCTGAAAGATCATCTTTCACTCTGAGGCTGTGCCCTCAGGTCCTAGTCTCTCTTACTACTGGAAACATCTTCTCTGCATTCACTCTATCTAGGCCTGTCAGTATTTTGTAAGTTTCAATGAGACATTCCCCCCTCACCCCCAATCCTTTTAAATGCAATTGAATTCAGATCCTGAATCCTCAACTGCGTCTCAAACAACAAGTCGTTCATCGCCATCATCATTCTTGTAAATCTCCTCTGAACCCCCTCCAAGGCAAGCTGTTCCTTCCTTAGGTATGGGGTCCAGAGCAGCTCACAATATTCCAAATGTGGTTTGACCAGAGCCTCGTACGATCACTGCTGTATATCCCTGCTGTTGTATTCTAACCTTCTTGAAATGAATGCTAACGTTGCAATTGCCTTCCAACCTGCCAACTGAACCTGTATGTTAACCTTAAGATAATCCTGAGCTAGGACTCATTAGCGGGGACTCTAACTAGGATTCACCTGTGGGGAGAACATGTCGGCTGCAACAAGATATAGACCAGTTAAGTGAACTGGCAACATGATGGCAGATGGAGTTCAGTGGTGGGAGGAAATGTGTAACTTTTTATTTTGGTTTTCAAGAACAGAAACATATGTTTTCTTAAGTGTGAAGCATGTACTCATACAAATACCACAAGTAGTTAGTGTACAAGCGCAGCAAGCAATTGGGATGGCAAATAGCATATTGATCTTTATGGAAAGGGAATTAGGTTACAAGAATAAAGAACTCCAGTTCCAGTGGTCCAGGGCTTTGATGAGAGCACATTTTGAGTACTGCATACAGTTTTGGCTTCCATATTTAAGATATGATGTACATGCATTCAAGGGAAGATGATGGCTGAGTGGTAATGCCACAAGACATGTAAATTATTGGCCTAGACTGAAAGAAACATAGAAGTAGGAATAGGCCATTTGGCCCATTGATCCCGTCCCATCATTCAACATGATCGTGGCTGATCTTCTGTCTGAACATGATACTCCTGTCCTCTCCCCACACCTTGACTCTTGCTTAAATAGATCCAGTGAATTGCCCTCCACAGCTTTCTGTGATGGAGAATTTCATTGTTTCACACCCTCTGAGTGAGGGTTTGTTCCTAACTGCTTGCAGCAACTGAAGGTTTGCATTTGATAATTGATGCACAAGAACACCAGGTCCGTTTATACATCAACCTTTCCAAATATATCACAGTTTAAATAGTACTCTGCCATCCTGTTGTTTCAACTGAAATGGACAACTTCACATTTGCCCACATGTACTGCATATGCGATGTGTTTTCCCACTCTCTCAACTTGTCCAAATAACCCTGAAGCCCCTGGATGTCTTTCACACTCCTGCTCAGTTTGATGTCATCATTCCCTTCTCAAGATTGATGTGTATTGTGAATAGCCATGCAGTTGGGGCAGTGTTTCAAATCTCATCACAACTGCTGGTGGAATTTAAACTAAATTAATAAATCTTCAATTTAAAACTAGCCACAGTAATGGTAGCCATGAAAGACATCAATCATCATGAAAACCCATCTAGTTCACTAATATATGTAGGGAAGGGCATTTGCCTTCCTTATCTGGCCTAGCCTAACTTCACCTCCAGAATGCCCAATAAATTAGTCTAACCAGTTACTCAGTTCAAGAGTAATTAAAGATGTGCAACAAATGCCGGTCTTGTTAGTGACACCCATCTCCCATGAAAGAACGACCGAGAAAATAGGTGGAACAGCAAATTTCACCAAATTGGTCCCTGAGAATGCGAATTCCCCTAAGATGAGAAGCGTAGTAAATTGGGCCTACGCTCTTTTGGAGCTAAGAAGAATGAAAATGTGATCTCATTGAAACATAAAACATTGCAAAGGGTAAGTGCTGACAGCTTGTTTCCACTGATCGCAGAATCTAAAACAGGGGAGTACAGTCTCTATTTAAAGGGCTAATTGTTTAGGAATGAAACAATGATTTATTTCACTCAAATGGTTGTAAATCTTTGAAATCCTCACCCCAGAGGGTTGTGTATGCTCCATTATTGAATATATTTGAGGCTGATCTCAAGGAATCACGGGAAGTAGGGAATAAGTGGGAAAGTAGATTTGAAACCTGAGATAAGCCAACATTGTATTGAATGGTGGAGCAGACTTGAGTCGACACATTTATATGTGGTAGTATGTTTTATTCAGTGATGTGATGCCCTCCTTTGTCATGCCTGCCATTATATGGCTAGAAAAGCTCACCTTTTGGGTTGTAAAATTCTAATAGCATGATTAAAATTATAACATGTTTTAAAAATACCATAGTCTGCAGGTAAGAATTTATTCTCTTCCTTAACTCTAAGATGCATGAGGCCTGAATACTCCTTGTAAAAGATAAACACCACTGTTGTATATCCAGTCAGTCACTGCCCTCTGGTTCCTCCTCTTCCTGTTCCCAACCCCCGCCACAAACCTCCGTGATGTACTATAATGCAAGACACGAGGTGTGTAAACAACCTGTATTCTGGGTGTCTGGCAGTGCTGCTGTTGGGCCAGCTGTTAAGAAGGTATGTGGCAATGGTTTGGGTTGGGTGCTTATCATCTCTCTTCTGTGCCCTGCAGCCCCTCATAACCGACCCCCAAGCTCATCACATTAGCTTGTTTGTTCTTCTGTCTTTCCCAGTGGAAGCGTGTCCTGCTGCTTTAGCATTGCTCCCCCAGTAGCACAGCCAAGATCAAAAAGAGTGGTCCAGCCCTTCCTTTCATTAATACATTCATGTTATCCAGCTGAGCAAGGTAATTATGAATTCAGCCACTGACGGAAAACAGATTTTCTTTATTCATGTGAACAAATGGGATTCAGTATTAAAACTAGTAATAATTATTCTGATCATAAGCTTGGACATAAGATTCCATAACATCTAAAACCTGCTACAAGAGAAGATTGAAAGTGAAATGTTTGCACCTTTGAAGGTATTTTGTAATTTTGATTGTAATGCAACATAAAGTGAGTGCTGACCATCACATTACTATGCAATGTTTTTTGAGTTAAATCGTCATTTCTGCAAACAGGTAACTACCATATGTCTCCGACAGTGAACATGACCCAGGATGACACTGTTATTATTGAAGATGACAGACCACCTGGTAATCTTCCTCAACTATCCAACCAGTCATCCATGGATTATCATCAAGAAATAAATTCTGTAACGTCTGGTCTGTGGGTGAAAGAGCCTGATAAAGATAAAACAGATGGGTAAGAGCGCTGTTCCAATTAATTCTTGATTGTTCTAACACCATTTTTTCAAACTGTTGTTACTGATAGCTTCTGAAGATTACATTCGAAAACGGATTAGCCATGTGAAATGCAGGGTTGTGGAGATAGGATAAGGAATGCAGGTCTGGGTGGGATCCTGTTTGGAGGGCCAGTCTGAACTCAATGGACCACATGGCTTGCTTTCATGCTGTAAGGATTCAATGAAAAAAAGGGTCAGAAAAATTGTGATATTTTGTTAATAACTATGATACTTCTCTGTCTCTTCCTGTACACTCTCACCCTAACCCATTACCCTCACTTCACACTTCCCTCTTGGGTTCACTTCTTTTGTCAGTGTGTTTAGACTAAACCTGTAATGACGTCAGGAACTGGTTGGGTCTGATGTACACCAAACTGCATGTTAGTGACCAGTTTATGGTTGAGTGAATGCTGCTTGATATCAGTTCAACAACCCTTTCTATCGTTTTGATAGTAGATTGATGGGACGGTAATTGGCTGGGTTGGATTTGTTCTGCCTGATGTGGATGGGGGGTAGCAGACAGAAACATTTTAGGCACTATTGTGAGGCAGTGGTAGTGTCCCTGCCTCTGAGCACAAAGGCCTGGGTTCAGGTCCTAGCTGCCCTGGACTGTGTCGTAATGTGTCTGCATAGGTTGATTAAAATAACTCTAGCTGAGCAAATTTCTGTAGTGCTAGGTGGATCTTAGCATTGTAAATGTACTGGAACAGCTTGGCTAGAGGTATAGCTGGATCTGAAGAACAATCTTCAGTTCTTTTGCCAGAATTAAATCAGGACCTATAGTTCTTGCAGTAACCAGAGACTTTCAGTATTTCTGAACATCATGTGAATTGAATCAGTTGGCTGAAATCTGGCATCAGTGATGCTGGTGTGTTCATGAGGCCAAGAAAGGTCCCCCATTCCACATTTCTGGCTGAAGCTGCTGACAAACATATCAAACTTTTGTACTGATGTTCTGGGGCTGCTTCATCTTCGATGATGGGAATATTTGTGGAGCTACCTCCCACAGTGAATTACATATTGTCCTCCACAATTCATGACTGACTGGGGCATGACTGCAGAGCTTAGGTCTGACCTGCTATTGTGGGATCACTTAGCCCTGTCTACTGCTGGCTGCTTAAACTGCTTGGCATGCAAGTTGTCCTAGGTTTTTTCCTCCTTGTTGGTTCTCTCACCACCAACTCAGGCCCAATCTAGTGCTATGTGCCTTAGAACTCGGCCAACTCAGTAACAGTGTTCCCATGCTGCTTTAGGTGATGGAGATTGAAGATCCCTCATCCAGAGAACATTCTGTGGCCTTGCTACTCCTGGTTCATTGTCCAAATGGTATTCAACATGGAGGAACACGAGCTCATCAGCTGAGGATGAGCGATATGTGGAAATCAACAGGAAGTTTCCTTGCCATTTTTGACTTGATGCCATGAGACTTTCTGGGGTTCAGGGTCAATGTGGAAGACTCCCAGGACAACTCCCACCCAGTTGTGTACTATTGTTGCACCACCAGTGGTCGATCTGTCCTCTTGGTAGGACAGGGCATGTCCAGGAATGGTGACGTGTTGTCTGAGACATTGTCTATCAGATATGATTTTGTGTGAATGACTGTGTTGTATGGTTTGTGGGACAGGTCTCCCAGCTTTGGCACAAGCTTCCAAATGTTCATAAGTGAGACTTTGCAAGGGCATCTGGGCTGTGTGTGTTGTTGCAATTTCTGGTGCCTTGATCAATGCCAAGTGGCCTCTAAGTTCTCATTTCTTTTATCAGAATTCAATTCTAATGATGTCCATTTAGTTTTTCAAATACTTAGATTTCCAGTTGAAATGCATATCATGAAATGTATATGGCACAGGTAAATTAATTTCCCTTTGGCTGTATCCTTGAACAATATGTCAAATAATTCAACAAGCAATGTTATTTTTTTTAATTCTAAATATCTCCTCAATGCCTAATAAGGACCCAGCAGGTTGTGACAATAAAATATATTGATGTACTGGTGTAATACAATAGCACACTAGCTCGGTGCCTCATCTGTTGACTTGTTGATTTGTTGCACTGGAAACCAGCAGACAAGGGATAACCTGCATCAGAGTTAGCACCGATGCTTTCAGCACTTCGCTTTCTTAAACCACAGGAGGATCTGCAGTTAGGATCTACAATAAAGCGGACAAGGGAACGTATTGAAGAGAAGTTGAAGAAGATCAGGACTACCTAGAATGCTTACTAGGAGTCTGAAGGCCATCAGGCCTTGCAATCATTAATGTTGTTGCATCAATAATAATTTCATAAACCATGGCAAAATATGCTTTTTGCATCAAAATTGAAGAATTCAAAGCTCAGGAGTTTAGATGAAGCTCCATTGATTAGTAATTCAAATGGAAAAATGGCACATATATTCTTTGATGTTTGTGTATTTTTTTTAAGGTATAAGCATTCTTTGTTGTCTAGAATGGTCATTTGATCTGATCAGGTAGTATTTGTACAAAGGGAGGTGGAACATTAGTGTGATTGCTGTGATTACTGAAATGTTGCATGCATAATGCACAAACTGCATCTTCAGCTAATGAAGGCTGAAAGATGAAAGTCTTCAGAGGGTTTAGACTTATTTACATTTCTCAAGAACCTTCTATGTAATAGAAAAAAATCTTTACTTTCCTTGAGTTAAAAATGCATGATCGTAAGCTTAAGTGTGTCAGTACCGACAGATCTCATTATAGGCTCTGTGCTTGTACCATTGGCTTGAAAATGATTTTTGAAACACTTCAGTTATGCTGCATTCACAGAGGCAAGTCACCTCACTAAAGAATAAATGAGCTTCACATCCTAAAGCTTGACAGAACTTAGATGATGTTTTGAGCACAACCTCAATTCCTATAAATCCGAGTATGAAAGAAGCATTTCTGATATAGTGTACTCTTAGAAGTATTGTTGCAAAAATGTAGAGAGCAAGAAGAGGTGAGCATCAAGTGTATCTAAACGTTTTCTTGGAGTGTGAATTAATCAACATAAGTTAACATGTTTAGTTTTATTTCTTGCTCAAATTCACAGAACTTCCTAATGAACCTTGCTGTGTCCTTGTACACTTTTTTTTAATAATATTATAAACTTTAACAAAGTAAATTCGTTGGTGGTTGTTTTCTCCATCCCCTTTCTCTTGAAGATACTGATTCTTACAGCAGTCCACTGGTTTCTCATTTAACTAATCATTGAGCATACTGAAAAATGCGTAGTTTGTCAAAGCTTTTAATCTTGCACCACTAGGACAATTTGCAAGAATATCAACATAAAGGAAAACAACAGGTTAAGATTGCGTGAAAAGAGCGTACTAACTTGTTGACCAGTAGGTGATTGCTGGAGGTGCTGTGATGGCGAATGTACCAGTTAATGACTGATGGTTAACTGCAAAACTTTGTTTAATTTAAGCCAAGCAGGTAAGTTACCCTCAGAAATGAACCAGAAAATGGCTGTCACCTGTTTTGCACAGTTGAAATCGCATTTGTGTATGTCATTCAGCAAAGAAAATGTCATGTTTATGCAGTGCCAATAAGCGCAGGTACTCCAGACTATGAGCCCAACTGACTACCTTAAATTGGTTGGTAAATTGGTCATCAGTTTCAAGTTACTGCAATGTAGTTACAACACAAGTGATGGTTGTCCCTAACAATCCAATTAAAAGATGTTTTGCCTAACGTGTAAAAACCATCTGTCCTGTTAACTGGCAAGGTACTGACTGTATCCAACCAGCTTGAGTTTACAAACCTCAACAGTGGCCAGTTTAAGATGTGATTCTGCAAATAGACAAATTTGTAAAATCATCTCGAGCATGCTAAGAATTGAATTGGCAACCAAAATCAAAATATTCAGTCAAACTCTTAGTATGGCGCAGGAAAATACATGTATTGATTCACAAAGCCCTGTTCTTTGCAGACGCAAAGAGCATATGTGCTGAGAATTGTTAAAATAAAGAAGGAGACCATCTAGCCCATCATGTCTGCACCAGCTCTCCATATGACCAAAATGAGTGAGTGTCCTTCATTAATAAACAAAAATAAATTCTGTCTGTTATAAGTGAACAAAATAAATGACAGTGATTTTCTGCTTCATTCCCCAGGGCAATGCTTTGATCAAGCAGACTCAATTTGAACAAAGTTTGACAGTTAACTGTCAGTCGTCACTTAGTTGGTGTATTCTCTGAAGTAACAGGGAAATGAATCAGCACACTCTTCTCATTCAGTATAAGCATGTTACCCATTCTAATGGTATTCATGCAAATTGCCCTGATGAGTGCAAGACAAAACAAATCTTCAACATAGTCTGCTTTTTTTTTTAAACAACACTCAAGTTCTGTGCTACCAAACAACTAACTGACATTCTTAATGTATTAACTCGGAGAATGAGACCAGAAAGCTATTTGGCGATGGAGAGCATCTTGTTTGAGGCCCATATTGTCTTCAACTCATACCACGCGTACAGACCTTGCAACATATGTAGTTGGATTATGATTAGACACCTGAACTGTACCCGAATTTTCCCCTTCTTAGTTCAGACCTTGGAGTCAATTTTAGTGATTTGGCTGCTACACAGGAAGAGATGGAAGTCTTCAGAAGTTGAGAGTTTCTTTGTCAGAATTATTTAGTGCTTAGTGAGTGAGTCTGAAGATTAGGAGACAACAAGGTGCAGGGCTGGATGAACACAGCAGGCCAAGCAGCATCATAGGAGCAGAAAGGCTGACGTTTCGGGCCTAGACCCTTCATCAGTTTGAATATGTCAAGAGGAATCAACATAATTGATAATATTTAGTTCAGTAATTCACTGGTGACCTGGGTGCAGCTAGTCCCAATTTTGAGCTGATCGAATTTGAGTGGTGTTTATTTTGCATATCTGAAATCAAGGTTATTTGTTGGGTGTGGTGTGTCTGACTGGGCCAGCATTTATTGCTCATCCCTTGTTGCCCTTGAGAAGATAG